GTTGCCCTCATGGAGCCCTGGTGGTACAGTTGTTAAGAGCTTGGCTGCTAACCAAAAGGTCAGTAGTTCAAATCCACCAGAAACTTGGAAACTCTATAGGACAGTTCTACTCTGCCCTATAGGGTCTCTATGAGTCAGAACTGACTCCACCGCATCAAACAACCACAACAACAACAGTTGCCCTCATGGAAACCCTGTGTGTTTCAGAGTAGGACTGTGTTCCGTTGAGTTTTCATAGAAAGCTTTGTTAAAATCCTCTTAACCCACCTGTGCAGGCCACAGCACACCTCCATGTCTCCCCTCCCCTCTGCTTGGCAGTGCTTCCCCTGCCTCTCAATAACAGGAACTTTGGTAATCTGGTTTCCTGGAGGGGAGCCCTGTATCACAGCACTGAAAGCTCTCGAAAATCTAGTCCTAAATGTTCTTCTCCAAGATATTTGTTAAAAACAAGGGATTTTGAGCACCTTGAACATCCTGCCCGTGATGCTTAATGCCTCTTGCTGTTGTGATCAGTTTGGGAGCCAAATCTTGGGCAGGATTCAGTTGTGATCTTGTGGAGGTTGGAGTATACCTCCGGCAGATAAAACAATGCATGGTATTTGTGTCTGGTATCCATCCCTTCTAACTGCTCAAAGTGATATGCTTCCTTTCACAGAGAGGCTGGTAGTCTCTCCATTTTACAGATGGATGTACTGAGGCTCAGACTGTGTACCCTTACTGTTTGCCTGCCCATGGCAATGTGAGAAAGAGATGTTATACACCCTGACATCTAGATTATTGTGGTTCAGATATTCACTAAGAAACCTGAAGGACACAATACACACGGTATCCAAGGTTTGGCACTTCTTGTATGACCTTAGTAAAGTTCATGAATCTTTTGAAGTTTAGTTTCCTCAACTCTGCAATGGTGAGAATAGGATGATAATGTACGTGATGTGCATCGAAGGTGTTTGGCAATATACTTAGTGTTCAATGAATGCTAGTTGTTACTGTTTTTATTATTACTTAAGTGTCAGGGAAAAAAAATTGCTCTTCTGTGGTCCTGAATGGCTCGCTGTTTTTATTAAGCATGTAGGAACTGTGTTTTCTGTTCTTTTGTGCCCCTATTGAAATTGCCATATCCTAGAATAAAGCAGGCACTTAAAAATACTTGGCAAAAATTTGTAATGTTCCAATGATGTGTCATCAATATTTTTAGAAATTGGGCATTCTACAGCTCTTTACACAAAGGTTAATACATACACAAAATGAGCAAACATCCTTTTTGGTTTGTTTTTAGTCTTTCTCTTCTACAGAGACTTGAAAGGAGCCCTGGTGGTGCCGTGGTTAAGCGCTCGGCTGCTAACCAGAATGTCAGTGGTTCAAACCCACCAGCTGCTCCTTGGGAGAAAGTTGTGGCAGTCTGCTTCCGTAAAGATTTACAGCCCTAGAAACCCTATAGGGCTGTTCTACTCTGTCCTATAGGGTTTATAGCCTTGGAAACCCTATGGGGCCGTTCTGCTCTGTCCTACAGGGTCCCTATGAGTCTGAATCAACTCAAGATAGTGGGTTTGGTTTTGGGTTTACAGTGACTTGTAGCTATTAAAAAATAGAAGTTACCAGGGTTACAAGCATAACTCACCTGTTCAGTCTGACCTATTCATCTCTAGTTAATAGAAGTAAAATATTTTTCATTAATCAAGATTCATTCACAAATTTAAGAAATGTGAAATATCAATTTATGTGATGAGTACTCTTGATATAAATAAAAAAAATCAGTGTAACAGTTTTATGTACTATCAATTTTTATTTAGTCATTCATTCTGCTTTCAGCTGTAGTATATGAATAGAGATATTTATGGGGAAAGCAAAAAAGCGAGGAACATCTGGAAAAATATTAAACTTGGTACAAAAACCTATTATTCATATGCTGCTAGAAAAGAACAATTTTTTGTCTTATTTTAAATGCAAAGTAGTTTATTTTTTTTTTCTGCTTTAGCAACAAGGCATGTTTTTCCATGAAAAGTATAAAATTGGTTTATTTTTATGTTACTTTTTATAAGTGGGAAGCTAAAGGAACCAAACAAACTACATCATTAAATAATTTTTAATGTCTAGAGCCCTAGTGCAGTGGTTAAGAGCTTGGCTGTTCACCAAAAGGTCAGCAGGTGAAATCCATCAGCTGCTCCTTGGAAACCCTATGGGGCAGTTCTACTCTGTCCTACAGGGTTGCTATGAGTTGGAATTGACTCAACGGCAATGGGTTTGGTTTGGTTTTTGGTATTGTGGGAATATTTATCTCCTTGAAAATAAATATTGTTGCTAAGCAGGTAGCTCAGTTGACATTCTGAAGGGAATAAAAGTAGTGAACAGGCTATCATAAGACTGATAGAGCACAGAGACAAAAATGTAACATTTGTGTCTCTATTGAATTTGGTTTGAAAAGCAAAACCTAAACACATGTTCTGATCTGTGCTGTAATTTGCTTTCCTGAGAGAATTCCATATTCTAAGCGTGGTATTAAATGTTCACAACCGCTCCCAAAGCTATCAGGACAGCAGCAAGTGCAACAAAAGAGTCCAATGATGCTTATAATCGATGATTTACAAAACAGTCTTAACATTTATAGCCAAATGAAGAAGACATTTTTAAGGTCTCCCTAATGCTGTCCTGTAGAGAAAGGAGATTGATACTGCACAGCCCTCCCCCTAGTCCCAACTTCACCTCTGCGATTTATCCCAAGGTTACGCCAGGAACAAAGTCATCAGCACTGAGAGGACATGGGCAGAATTCATAGCCAGACAGTGACTATGCTCTCAAATGGCATTCTCTGCCTCTTTCTTTCTAGCACAATCAGTACTAGAAAATAAAAGGTGTCAAAGGGCCAGGCTTGCCATTAGGCCAAAAAGCTAAAACACAGTAAATACAATTAAAACATCATGAAGGTAGCTTAAAGTTTCTTCTTCCAGGTGCTTAAGCCAGAAGGTAGGAACATACTCAATCCTTGCAAGTCCAAATGTGGTTCACTGAAATGTGGCAGCAGAGGCATAACTTGGGCGCTCGTTAGAAATGCAGTTTCAGGCCCCACCTTAGACTTGCTGAGTCAGAATCTGCATTTGAACAGATCCCCAGGTAATTCACATACTCATTAAAGTTTAAAAAGCACTGATCTAGGGCATAATTTTAAGTGACAACTGTTGCAGAGGAAGAAGAAGAACTTAAACCTCTTTCTCAGTGAAGTCATCGTTTTTGGTAATTCTTTGACATGAATGTAAACTGTACTGTATCATAGATCAACAAATGCTTGAAGAAAAAACATTATAAGCCTCCCAGTAGAACTCTATTACATCAGAAGATAAGTTTGCTTTCTTTACAGTCACAAGAAGACCTCTTTTTTCCGCAGAAATGCACACCCATTGGAATGACTTAGCCCAGTTTTCTTACTAGCTGAAGGAATACAATAGATATCATGATGCTTCTTCTTCTGACAACTAAAAAATTTCTCTAACTTTCAAGCTGCAGTTTGGTCCAACCAACAGCCCTAACCCAAGCATCCCTATTAATGAGTTATTTCCAAGAGCTCTTGATTCTATGGAATCAGGAAATAATGAGCTGTCTCCTTAACATAACATGTGGGAAAAAAGTGAATTTTGCAGGATTTAAAAAATTTTAGTGCGGTAACACTACAGGGGAAGTCAGCACAACTGGACTAAACCAAAGCTAAGAAGTTTCCTGAATACAACCAAACACTTCAAGGGACAAAGTAGCAGGGGCGGGGGTCTGGGGACCATGGTTTCAGGGGATATCTAGGTCAATTGGCATAACAAAGTTTATCAAGAAAATGTACTGCATCCCACTTTGGTGAGTGGTGTCTGGGGTCTTAAAAGCTGGTGAGCGGCCATCTAAGATGCATCAATTTGTCCCAACCCACCTGGAGCAAAGGAGAATGAAGAACATCAAGGACACAAGGAAAGTATTAGCCCAAGAGACAGAAATGGTCACATAAACCAGAGACTTCATCAGCCTGAGACCAGAAGAACTAGATGGTGCCTGGCTACCACCAAAGACTGCCCTGACAGGGAACACAACAGAGAGTCCCTGACGGAGCAGGAGGAAAGTAGAGTGCAGAACTCAAAATCTAATAAAAAGACGAGGCTTAATGGTTTGACTGAGACTGGAGGGACCCCAGAAGACATGGTCCCTGGACTCTCTGTTAGTCCAAAACTAAACGCATTCCTGAGGCCTACTCTTCAGACAAAAATCAGACTGCAATATGGGACATAAAGTAATACTTGTGATAAATGTGCTTCTTAGCTCAAGTAGATACAAGAGACCAAATGGGCAGCTCCTGTCCGGAGGCGAGATGAGAAGGCAGACAGGGTCAGGAGCTGGTTGAATGGACACAGGAAATCCGGGGTGGAAAGGAGGAGTGTGCTGTCACAGTATAGGGAGAGCAACTAGGGTCACATAACAATGTATATGTAGATTTTTGTATGAAAGACCTGAATTGTAAATTTTCACTTGAAGCACAACAATAAAAAAAAATTTAGTGTGGTAAATTGAGTGAAGGGAGATAAGAAGAATCTCTGAGTTAGGTTAATCCCATTGGTTTTTAAGATAATAGGACCAAGGGAAAATAGTACAGTGAGAAGTAAGAATGTAATAAATGTTTCAAAAACAGAATTAATAGTTTGAGTGCAAGAGAGAAAGACTAAAGTCAAAAGGAAATATAATTTTGCAAATACAGAAACAAACAGAAGAAAGGAGAAGAAAGACATATGGAAGAATGGAATTTATGTCAGGAACAGAGAACACAGTGACAAAGAAATAAAAGCCAGAGCAAAGGCACGAATGAATGAGCAGGGCACATTGGGTGTGGCTAGAAATTACAGCAGGAAAAAAAAGATGAAGGTGTAGCAAAAGAGAAAGTGAAGAACAAAGGAGCAAGTCCATGGTGCTTGAAAACCAGATGTCCACACACCACCCTTCTCTCAAAAGCGACCCCTCCCATCCAGTCCTACCTGGCTGGAAGGACGGTGGTCACCACTTGAGAGCTCGAGGGTTGGGGGGAGTAAAGTTGGGGGAAACAGAGGGATCCTCATGGCAAGTTTCCGACAAGAATGAGGAGGAATCGTCCCCCTGTGTGGAAAAAAAGGGAGGCTGTCATTTTTGAGGCACTGAAATTGATTTCTAAGTCAACTGGTGTTTCAAATTATTTGTCTGGGAGATCTCTTGACTGCCTTCCAGAAGAAAGATTTAAAACCTCAAACTGCTTTTATCTACCTCAGCATCTCCAGTGTGGTGAGGCATCTGGTGTACTGGAAAAGCAGTGGAAATGCCAACTGAGCTCCCCTCGATTTTTCTCTACCCTCTGAAGACTTCAAACGTTAAATATGATCACAATGATCACTTTCGATAAATTCTCCACAAAATCCCACTACCATCAAGAAAAGATGGTGTTGAATTACTGACAACAGTTTGTTCACTTGAACAATACAGCTCAATGAGTCTGGGCTTAATGGCTATCCTTTTCTCCCCCAAAGCCAGAACTATCTTTTCATATACAAAGTAAATTTTGTTAACCCTCTACATAAGTCATTTATTCAGCAAATACTTATGAGCACCAACCATGTGCCAGGTTCTGTTCTTGGGTGTCTAGAACTCAAGAGCATCAGTGAACGTCAGTGAACCGAATAGATAAAGCTCCTACCTTTGTGGACCTTACATTCTAATGTAGAGAAGCCAACATTAACAACACAGTTAAGAAGCAAATTACCTAGCAGGATAAAAGGTGACAAACGCTATGAAACCAGAAAGTAGAGCAGAATAAAAGGATGGGAGAGTGGTGGAGGGCTTTTGCAAATTTAAACAAAGTTGTCATGGAAGGCTTCTTTGAGAAGACAGATTTGAGCAAAGACTTCAAAAACGGGGGAGTTGCCCAATCAGACACCTGGGAGAGGAGCATTCTGGGTGAACAAAACAGCCCATGCAAAAGCCCAAGGAGGAATTGGACTGGCTTGGTTGGGGACCAGCAAGGAGCCCAGAATGGCCTAAGCAAAGATCAAGTCCACGAGGGAACGAGGAAGGGATGCAGTAAAGTAGGATCAGATCATGTCAGACATTGTAGGCCTTTGTAAGGACATGGCTTTTATTCTGAGAGAGATGAGTACCATTGAAGGGTCTTGATCAGAGGAGCAATGTAATTTACGTTGTAAAAGGATGCCTCTGGCTGCTGTATTGAGACTAGATTACAAGTGAACACAGGTGGAAGCAGGAAGACTAGCTAGGAGGTTATTTAGAAACCCAGGTTGGGAATGCTGGTGATTTTGACTGGGTGGGGGTGGGGTAGCACTGAAGTTGCTGTCTGAGCAATTATAAAGATGTCTTAACCGCTTTATAATATTTTCAAGTCCTAGGGTCTTTTGGTTCCACCTAAAACAAGGACCCAATAATCAACTGAAGAATGTCAATGGCCCTTCTGTATTTCCCAAAACATAACAGGTCCTTTTTTAAACAGTAAGTACAGTTCAAAGAAAAAGGAAACAAACCCCTTTCAACCAAAGCTAGAATGTAACGTATTTCCTATTACCTATATGTCATCAGGAAACCCTGGTGGTGCAGTGGTTAAGTGCTAACCAAAACGTCAGCGTTCGAATCCACCAGGTGCTCCTTGGAAACTCTATGGGGCAGTTCTACCCTGTCCTAGAGGGTCACAATGAGTTAGAATCGGCTCGACAGCAACGAGTTTTTTTTTATATGTCACCAAAAAACATGTATGTGCTGCTGGCTACTCTCTTAGACACGAATGTCCACATAACTAGCATAATTAGCTTCAGCAAAATCCATTTTGATGCCAAAATATTTAAACATGTTAAGCCTCACCACAACTGTATAAAGTTGTTTGTGTGTGAGTGTATGTGTGTGTGAAAGCTGTGAGTACGAGTGTGAGCATGTTTGTGAGTATGTTGTACCTGACTGTGTGCATATAAGAATATGTGTGTGGTGTGTGTGTATATGATGGCCACAAGGCTATATGATGGAGAAACCATCAAAACTATCGAAAACATCATAAAACTGTTTATCATTCTACCATGACTCATTCGTTAGCAAAAGTTAAAGCCATCTCTATTGATAAGACCCTTTGTAGCATGAAAATATTATTGGAGCCCTAGTTTCAGTTACAAATTCAATGACCTCCTTGTTAAATTCAAACAGGTTATTCTCAGCTAATGAGTATAATAAAGACAGAAGACTAATGTCAAGTGATTTCTGTTGACAGAAAATGTATAAATAGGGACTCCAAACAGTTTTAGTTTCGTTAACCCAAATCTTTAGACATAAGACATGGAAAATAGAGGATGTAACTCTTATTCTTAGTAACTGCTTTACCATTTTGCACTGGAACTTTCTTCTATGCGTTTGCCCTTTTGTAATAGCTTTTTCTCTAGTCACCACATGCCTCTTGATCAAATTTCAAAGCACCTACTCTATTCCCTCTCTGAATTTTCTACAGCTAAACATTTCTTGGTTTGAGTCTGACTATCCTTTACCTTAATACTGATAGCCATGGAAAATTAGACAATGGTTTCCTGAGATCATTTACATTTTTAAATCCTTTGCTTTAAAAAATATTTGGGATGTGTGTGTGGTGTGTGTGTGACAATTCTCATTATCCTACTCATATCAAAGCAGGGCTTTACAAGCAAACTGGACATATATTGAGAATCAAAAATCTAAATGGAATTGGCAAAATTCATATAAATCCTGCACAATGACAGGCACAAACAAGTAGAAAATACAAAAGGTTTCGTGTTCCATCCATGGTGTGTGGAGTTGTGTATTGGGGTGGGCAGATGAAAGCCAATAAGATTAAAGCCCATCTCACTCTATTCCTGATGTTAAACTTGGTGATTGCTGGGAAAATTCTGAGACTCACCGACACCCTCTACATACAACTCTACTCTAGCAGGTGGTGAGCATTCGCTTCTGACCCCTTACCCTCCATCCTCCATCCAATACACCTGCTACCACATGCCCACATTTTTCTCATCATTAGGAAAGAAAAATAAGGGCAAAAGGAAGAGGAAAGAAAGTTTACAGAATAAAGAAAAGGAGGAGAAAGTAATGGCATCCCCAGGGGCAGATTACCCGATAGGCAAGGTAAGCACGGTGCTTACCTTGCTTAGCAGATCAACTGTAGTGCCCAATTTCACATTTTTTTTTATTACATCAAAGACTCTGTTTCAAGGTATAGCTGGCATCTATCTCTCTCCCAATCCCACACACCTTCCTAAAGAATCAAAGCCTCTTTTCCAATTTACAGTCCCTGACAGGGGCAGATGACCCAGTAAGCAAGGTAAGCAAGGGCTTACTTGTGCTTACTTACTAATCTGTAGTGAACAATTTCACTACAGATGATCTGGTAAGCAAGGTAAGTACCATGCTTACCTTGCCTATTGGATAATCTTCCTCCTGGGTATCTAGGTGAATCTATTACAAAAGCAAACCGTTGCTGTTCAGTCGATTCTGACTCATAGCGACCCTATAGGACTCAGCAGAACTGCCCTATAGGGTTTCCAAGGAGCAGCTGGTGGACTTGAAGTGCTGACCTTTTGGTTAGCAGCGTAGCTCTCAACCACTTCACCACAGGGGCCAACTGGTAACAGAAATCTATGAAGCCGGTTGGCGGGTACCATGCAGGTTTAAGGAGCAAACTTCTCTCAACTCTAGCGATTTGTTTACATGTTGGCTCACTGTATCTAATTTTTCAAGAGAAACTGAATATACAGATTTTTTAAAATAAGAAATTTTACTGTTTTTAAATAACAGTGTGATTGATGGCTTTGTAATGTAACACCTTGGCTAGGCGGAACTACATTTCCCAGAATTCCCTTTCTGTATGTTTCCAGTTGTGGGGGAGTGTTCCAAGGGGGCTCTCCTGAGAGTTGGAGGGCTGATGAGCCAGGAGGCAGCCATCTTGTAACACGCACCATGATGCTGATTTTCAGACTTGTTAGCCCGAAGCAGCATCTGGGTCTGCAATGAATCGCCCTTCCGCTTGGATCTTCCCTTAATTGTTCTGACTCCAGGGTCAGGTGTGTGTGTGCTCAGCTCTGTGGTGAAGGCTCCCAGCTTTTCCCTAGTCATCAAGCCTGCTTATGATTCTTTCCTGCCTGCCTGCTGTAGATTTCCAGCATTAAACAAGGAGATAGCCTTGCTGTGGAGATTGTTCAGCCATCCCCCACGACTGCATAAGCCAATTCCACTTGAAACCCGAATGATACAGATGGTTTAACTAATTCAAAAGTTTAAAAACACTATGTGGGGACTTTCTATTTCTGGTAATGGCTGGTTAGATTATCTGAACCATTTCTCCCACTAAAAACAATTACAAAAGCTGGATTCATATTAAAACTATCTTATTTAAATAATCTGAGAGCCACAAAAAAGTAAAGAATGATTGGGCCAAAACAGAAGAGAACATTGAATCTCCAGAGATAAGTCGGGATGCTGCTTTTGCCCTGATGGGCTTTTGCCGAAGCTGGACATTTTGAATTCTCCTTTGACAACCTTGCAAAACTCAAAGCCTGCAGCCTGCCCGAAGTGAGCAATCTAACAGGAAACTTTCCGTACAATAAGCTAAAATATACAGATTGCAGATTTGAAAATGAACCAAATAAAACTTCTAGAAATAAAAGAAAATTCAAAGGCTGAAATTAAAAACTCGGTGGACTAGTAAAGTAGCAGATTAAAGAACCAGTGAAATAGAAAAAGGGTCAGAAAAAAATTGCCCACAGGAAAGCACAAAAAGATGGAAAATACTGAAAAGAGGAGACAGAGAGGATAAAGCAAGAAGATCCCTTTTATTTTACATGCAAACATAGCCCTGGTGGCACAGTGGTTAAGCAGCTCAGCTATTTACTGAAAAGTTGGCAGTTCAAACCTACCAGGCACTCTGTGCTTCCGTGAAGATTTACAGCCTTGGAAACCTTATGGGGCAGTTCTACTCTATCCTATAGGGTTGCTAAGAGTGGGAATCGATTTTGATGGCAATGGGTTTGGTTTGGTTATATATATTTGGAATCCTAGAAGGAGAGTTAAAAAAAAAAAGTGACAGAAGCTATATTTGCTGATATGAC